ACTGGGGGAAAAGAAAGGGAAAGAAAAAAAAAAAAGAAAAAGGTTAAAAAAAAAAAAAAGAAGAATACGATCAAATATGATCAGGCTGGTGAATAGATCAGTGCCACACACTAGATTTTGGGCATATTTTGGTCTGTTAGAAGAAACTGCCTCCCAAAATTTTAAAGAAAGAAAAGCTTATATAGGTACAAAAATAAGGGTAAATATGATGATGGGATGGAATATGACTGTAAAGATTTAATAAAATTAAATTTTATTATAAAAGATTTTATAAAAGGAATTGATAAGAAATTGGTTGAAAAAAGAAAGAAGAGAAATTAAAAATTAAAAAAAAAAGGAAAGAATGTGATCAGGCAGGAGACTAGAACAAAGCCATACACTAGAGATTTAGGGTATATTTTAGTCTTTTAGAAGAAACTGTATCTCTAAGTTTTAATGAGAGAACAACTTATATATATATACCAAAAATAAGGTTAACTACTATGAAGGGATAGAATATGACTTTTCCAGAAAGTGGTCGCTTTTCTGTTCAGAGAGTTGCTGCTATTCTTTTCTTCAATCTCCTGTTGAGTTCGTAGGTGTTCAGAATGGTTTGATCCCTATCTAGCTGAATTCTATCTTCCTTTTTTGAGGCATCAATTAGCAGCATCTTTCAAGTGTCTGAACAGAAATTTGTGAATGACAGCTCCATCTTCCATGCTGGTTTGTAGTGGGTCCTCAGAGTTGGGCAGGCACCCTCTTATTATAATCAAAGAGAAATGTTAGCATAACTTAAATCTAGGACAAATAGCTCAATGAAAATATGGTTATAACCAATTTTAATACTTAGATATAAAAAAAAATGAGTCAGAAAATAATTGGGTGAAAATTAGTCTCATTATGTCACAGTTATAGCATGGAAATCTGAGTCCTGTTATGATATTTAAATTAGTAGCCAAGGATGTAATCCTTATTACCATGCACAGGAAGAATATTTTGGTTTTGTCAGATATTTAGAACAAGGACTTCTATATGTATCAGGTTTTGTGCTGGGTATTGCTAAAGCAAAAATGAATAGAGTATTTTCTGCCTTTGGAGAACTCACATACTAATGTGTGACAGAAACAATACCTTTATAAAATGTGAGTAGTGTTATAATAGAAAAATATAAAAACTAGAGTCAGGTAGGTAAAACCTTGATACCACTAACCTGGAGAGGGAGGAGTGGTGTAGTGAATGGATGTGTTACAGAGGGGGGGAAAACAATGCAAGTTATCTCCCACTCAAAATGAACCTGAAAACACACATTCCAAAACTTATAAAGAAATCTAATGGTAAGAAAGGCAACCAATAGATCAATAATTGTGGCAGAAAGCATATATGTAAAATTAGGAAAAAATAAAACAGCTAAAGGGTGCTTATAAGATGAAGCAGAACAGCAAGTTGAAAATAAAGGAAACCAAAAAGATACACCTTTCTATTACTTACTTTCTATTACTTGCTGCAATCTTAATATTAGACCAGCTGGAACCTGGGGAAAAAGAAAAAAATCCAAGGAAAATTAAATTACCAAGTTGTCTAAAACATCAGTGCTGATACAGAAAGATGAAAACAAAGATCTACCAAGAAAATACTACAATCATGACTTTGTGTGCACCTATTCACATAGCTTCAAAACATAAGAAACTAAAAACGATAGTATTCAATGATGTAATCATACTAGAAACTGGTACATCAAGCAGTAACATGTTAGTAAGTATGAAATTTAACAAAGTTAAGTAACAATCTAAAGGACATATATAAAATAATGACTATATACTCTATTTTCAACTTTTTGAGGAACCTCCACACTGTTTTCCATAGTGGCTGTACCAGCTTGCATTCCCACCAACAGTGTAAAAGGGTTCCCCTTTCTCTGCATCCTTGACAACATTTGCCCTTTCCTGAGTGGTTAATTTTAGCCATTCTGACTGGTGTGAGGTAGTATCTCATTGTGGCTTTCATTTGGATTACCCTGATGCCGAGTGATGTTGATCATTTTTTCATGTGTCTGTTGGCCATTGGATGTCTTCTTTGCAGAAATGTCTGTTGATGTCTTCTGCCCATTTATTGACTGGATTATTTGTTCTTTGGGGGTTGAGTTTCAGAAATTCTTTACAGATTTTGGATACTAGACCCTTATCTGATAAGACATTTGCAAATATCTTCTCCCATTCTATTGGTAGTCTTTTGGTTTCATCGACTGTTTTCTTTGCTGTACAAAAGCTTTTTATCTTGATGAAGTCCCAATATTCATTTTTAGTTTTGTTTCCCTTGCCTTTGAAGATGTGTCTAGCAAGAAGTCACTGCAGCTGAGGTCGAAGAGGTTACTGCCTGTGTTCTCTAGGATTTTGATGGATTCCTATTTCACATTTAGGTCTTTCATCCATGAGTCTATTTGTGTTTATGATGTAAAGAAATGGTCCAGTTTCATTCTTCTGCATGTGGCTGTCCAATTTTCCCAACACCATTTGTTGAAGAGACTGTCCTTTTTCCATTGGATATTCATTCCTGCTTTGTTGAAGATGAGTTGACCATAGAGTTGAGGGTCCATTTCTGGGTTCTGTATTCTGTTCCACTGGTCTGTTTTTGTGCCAGTACCATACTGTCTTGATGATTACAGCTTTGAATAGAGCTTGAAGTCTGGGATTGTGATGCCACCAGTTTTGCTTTTTTGGTCAACATTCCTCTGGCTATGCGGGGTCTTTTCTGGTTCCATACAAATTTTAGGATTATTTGTTCCAGCTCTGTGAAAAAAAGTTGATGGTATTTTTATAGGGGTTGCATTGAATGTATAGATCACTCTAGGTAGCGTAGACATTTTAACAATATTTGTTCTTCCAATCCATGAGCATGGAACGTTTTTCCATTTCTTTGTGTCTTCCTCAGTTTCTTTCATGAGCGTTCTATCGTTTTCTGAGTACAGATCCTTTGCCTCTTTGGTTAGGTTTATTCCTAGGTATCTTATGGTTTTTGGTGCTACCCTACCACCCAGCAATTGTACTACTAGGGATTTACCCCAAGGGTACAAATGTAGTGATCCAAAAGGGCACCTGCACCCCAATGTTTATGGCAGCAGTGTCCAAAATAGCCAAAATATGGGAAGAGCCCAGATGTCCATTGACAGATGAATGGATAAAGAAAGTGTGATATATCTATCTATCTATAGATAGATAGATAGATAGATAGATAGATAGATATAGATATAGATAGATAGATAGATAGATAGATAGATAGATAGATATACCTACACACACACACACACATACACACACACGGTGGAATACTACTCAGCCATCAAAAAAGTGAAATCTTGCCATTTGCAATGACATGGATGGAACTAGAGGATATTATGCTAAGCAAAATAAGTCAATCAGAGAAAGACAATCATCATATGATATCACTCATATGTGGAATTTAAAAAACAAAACAGAGGATCATAGGGGAAGAGAGGAAAAATAAACAAGACAAACCCAGAAAGGTAGAGAAATCATAAGAGACTCTTAATCATAGGAAACAAACTGAGGGTTACTGGAAGGGAGGAGGAGGGGGGGATAGGGTAACTGGGTGATGGATATTAAGGAGAGCATGGATGTAATGAGCACTGGGTACTATATAAGACTGATGAATCACTGACCTCTACCTCTGAAACTAATAATACATTATGTGTTAATTAATTGAATTTAAATTAAAAATAATATAAATGCAATTTAAATGTTTTTCTAAAAATGTAAATTAAAAATGCAAAAATAAAAATTATTTTAAATGTAAAAAAATAAAATAAAATGACTATATGCAGTAAATGGAGAATATTTACTACTCTCAAATACACAGAAAGCTATTTCCAAAAACACTTTTAAAGAATGAATAAAAATGAAACATTTTCTCTTGACAATACAGGTTTAGAAATAAACTAAAAGATATCTTTAAACATTTATATATTTGGAAAAAGAAAAGCATCTTTAATTCAAATATTCAAGAAATGTCATAATGGCAGTTAACAAAATAGTTTGAAATAAATGACAATAAGAATAATCCTAAAGTAAGTAAAAGGAAAAACAATAAAACAATACAGAAAATAAGGAAATATAAAATCAAGAAACAAAGAGAAGAACAAATAGTTCTTTGACAGATCTAATATAATAGGGAAACCCCTAACAAAACTAATCAAGACAAGAGAAAAGCATAAGTAAATAACACTTGCAACGTAAAGGAGCCATAACCAGGTGCACTAAGTAGTTAGAAAGAACCACGATGGCATACTAAAATCAATGTTTTGAATATATTTGAAACTAGCTGACATAAGTAATTTTGTGTGGTTTAAGCTGGTAAAACCAATAGCTACTAAATAAATTGAAACGGGGTGGAACCATGATTTGATTCATGACAAACTGAGTCTATAAAATGGCAAAACAGTTCACATTAATAGATGTTACAAAAATAGAATTTAAATCTAGCTTTTGAATCAATAAATAATATGGATACAATATCACGAAGTCACTAATTTCCCCTCATTGCCCATGATTGCCCCATCTGTCTTTTATCATTCTCACTGGAATTTCTAACTCGCCGTCCATAAATTTCTGTAGTGTATGTCCTTTCCCATAGGGCTTCAGTAATTCACAGAGCTCTTCCTCCTGAGCTCTTCCTGTGGCTCTGCTTTGTATCATTGTGTTTGTGGTTATGACCAGTTCCCTCAGCTGGCTTGCAGCCTGGCTGCAGTGACCCCCCCGCCCCCGCAACCCCCACGGAACCTAGCGCGGTGCTTTCCCCAGTGTGAGATCATAGGGAAGGCTGAGGGGATGCGTGGTCATCACCTTCCACCCTGCAGAAACCAGCAGTCATAAGACATGACCTTACAGAGTCCGTCCCTGCTGCCTGTAGCCCTGGTTGGCACTCTGACATGCTGAAGGGCAGACAGGCAAAGAGCTTCACCTCCCTCTGTTGTGCCCACAGCTCAGGTTTCAGCCTTCTAAATATAAGGTGTGCTCAGGGGTCCCAGAGCACAACCTCATTCACTGCAGAGTGCTCCTGGCCTGTAGAACTCGGTCCCTCCTGGATCACGTCCACACTTTGAGTGTGTGTTTTCTGAGGAAAGCTTAGAACACGTTTGTTTAAAAGAACAAATTGGAGAAAACAAATAGGTGAGAAACTATATCATGGCTGTGTTAACACTTTTTCTCCGACTGACCTTTAGGTTTACTTCAGCTGGAACAAGTTGTGGGCATTGTTTGTAGTTGGATAGTTGGATATATTTTTTTCTTGCTTTTCCAAATAAATATACACATTGATTGCATTTTTTTGGTTTATTGTAGTATATCTGATTACAATTTTGTGTAAGCTTTTCAATTCTTTCTATTGTATATTTATTACATGGTAAATTATGCTGCTTTGCAAAAAATATATGTGTATATTTTTTCCATATATGTGTGTGTGTGTATATATATATATATATATATATATATATATATATATATATATAGAAACAGAAAAGGAAACTCCGTGCAATTAACAACCTCTCTTTCCCTGTCACTGTTCCCAGATTGCTGTTCGCAGTCTCTCTGGCTCTTGTTCACAGGGAAAACAATGGCATCAGTGCCTTCCATTGGTTGCCTGCTGGCCAAAAATCAGTATTATCGAAGTAAGTTGTTATCATCACTAGAGTACTATATTCCTAGAGAATGTGACTTGAGGTGATGTTTGGGAGATATTATTAACCTACATATCGTGTCCTGGTCAGAACTTAAGGGACAAGACTTGACAATTGTCTGTGACAGTGAAGAAAATAGGAATAGAACTCATTCAGACCTCTTTTAATCAATATAGTTAAGGCTTATCTCTTTGTTTTAACTCTGTTATATCATATTGATGAAACCATTAACACTTATAAATAAGTGAAAATAAGCTTACATTTCATAATTATGTTTTAATTTCATGTATCTTGCATTTAATGAGATACTATTAAAAGCTGATAATTTTACGTAAAGAAAATGCTATTTATTTCTTACAAAAGAAGGGATAACATGACTGTTTCAAGGATTCTTTAATTTCCATTTTTTCTTGGATAATAGGTCAGCTTCTATTTGCCAGTTTTATTTTTATTTATCTATCCACCTGTGAATATTCATAGCTGAATAAAAAGTTGTAGCTTCTTAAAGAAAATTTGGAAATTTCATAGAATGAAACAATCATTCAGAAACAAATTATCATATATTGAAAATATGCCCACATGTCGAAAATTCTAATTTCAAGTTTTCTTTGTAGATAAAAGTTGGGAATGTCTATTGATTTATTCTTTTTATAAAATTGTTAAACTATTTTCATTTACTTAGTGTTATTATATCCATAGAAGTTGTTTTTATATTCTGATAATTTAAAAGACTTACAGGTTTAAAATACAAGTATGATAAAACAAAATAAAATGTTTATTCTTTAAAAATAATTCCTTTATTTCTAAATTTGTAACTTTTGTAGAATATTTAAATATATGCACATGTCATATTTCTAATGTAATACAATAATATTCATTCTTGATTTTGTACTAAGATTTTGAATTTGGTGATATTTATGTTTTAAATTCTACATCTATATCTATGGAGAGAGACAGAGTTGTCCACCATGGAAAGAAATATATCTTATTAATAGAAAATGTAAGAGTGTGCTAGGAGACCATTGCTCTTCCAAGTAGCTCTCTTCCAGTCTTGGTCCGGTGGTTTGCATGGCCCACAGAAATCAGCAAGAACTTGCCCACCAGAAAAACGTGAAGAAATCCCATGAAATTAGGAAGGGAAAAAGAAAGGAGGGTAGCTTGACTACCTCTCAGAGAAAGCAGAGGGACTCTGAAATAATGCAGCAAAAACAGAAGACAGCTAATGAGAAGAATGATGACTATTTGGAAAACCTGGGTGCTATTTGCCAACTAGGTGTATCATAAGCTCTATGATCAAAATTTTGTGGAGCAAACAGTCATATATTATGACATATCTTTTAAAAATTATCTTAAACTTAAAAAAAGAACATGTAATATGCGTTTTTCCAAAAGACTTTTTAATTGACAATTTAATCCATTTTTCAATTCATGAAGTCATGATCTAGGAGTTTCAAACCATGCTACCTTGCTAGTTGGGAGTTTATGCATAAACAATATGTCTGTGTTTGTTTGCCCATTATTTATTTGTTTATTGATTCTCATTTGTTTCCTACAGAGGCCAGTATTTCTTCAGTTAGCTCTTTAACTGATTCTGTTAACATCATACCTGATGACAAATCCCAACAAGGTATTTGGTTTATTTCTTATCAGCATCACCCTCATTATTTTCTTTGTTTCTAATCTTCCAAATGTGTTTGAGAAGGGGGTAATATGACTTTTATTTGATAGGGTTACCGAAAGTGGAAGAATCCAGCTGGTGGTTTAAATCCTTTTTCCGTTCTGAACCTGTGCTTTCAGTTGTGAGAGGAAAAGATCTGTCTGCTAGTGGGTATGTTTTAGTTTTTCTCTCATAAAGATATTTCCTTATCAGAATGAAACAATATAGGTAGTAATTACTATGTTAAACATAAGGGATAAAACACAGTTGTTTCTTGAGGGTGGTGAAGGCTTTAATATAAAGCATACTTGAGGGATTGAGATGGAGAAGACATTTGCTCCCCCATTTTGTAAATTATCAGTCAAATCATGAGCACTCTTTCTAATTCTGTCACTAAAGAGAAATTGAAAGTCACGTGCCAATATTTATCATTGTTTGGGGGAAATGGATTGGGAATCAGAGGCAAAGTTCTAAATTTGTTTTTCCAGTACTTTCAGGAAACAAATAACAATTATCTACTCTAATAAAAGGAAACATGGCTCCTTGGAAAAATAGCCAGCTCCAGGACAGGGAAGGGAAAGAAAGAAAAAAAAAAAGCCTGGACCATCTTATGGTGTGAAAGAGAAAGAAAAGCTCAAAAAGTGATGGAGATATGTCAAAATGACATAGGACCCAAATGGCCAAATCTGGGACAATTTCAGCAACAAAATAATGACAGTAACAGATAATTGCCCATTGAATAAAATAAAACCTGTTAATTATTATTGATATAAATAAATGAATAAACAAATGAGAGAGAAGGGAAAGCTCTTTATTGCAGTATTCTAATAAATGTAGAAGGAATGATGGAAATAGAGAATTACCACTTCACATATATTACAGTAATAATTGTTCCAGGCAAGGATTATCAATGGGTGCTAAAATAAATGGGGACAAGTATGAGAAATGAGTTTTTCTCAGAGTGTCTCCCCGTAAATATTTATTAATTAAACGGGGAAAATAGTAATTTTCCAATGGAGAAAACTATCAGATACCATCCTAACAAAAACAAACAGAAAACAATTATTTAGGCCCTAGACAACCTACTTTAGTCCCATTCTGGCTTTGATTGGCCTCTGTATGGTGCCAATTACTACATAGAAGACTGTATTGGTGGATTTTCATACAAGCGTTTCTACATATTTTGAACCCTAACACACTGAATAGCACAGTTGTTATTCTAATGGTTTCTAAAGTACTTATTTTGTTTTTTTAGACACTTAACCAATGACTAGTTACTAAGTAAAATAAAAAGAATAAATAATAATGGATTGCATAGATCCTAATGTTAAAACATAACATAAAACGATGTTTTTTTTTAATTTTATTATGTTATGTTAATCACCATACATTACGTCATTAGTTTTTGATGTAGTGATCCATGAGCACTGAGTGTTATATGAAAACATAAGGGCTTTAATGAATTTTTTACATATATAAATTTGAAATAGAATCAATTAAATATGGATACCTTTAAAAATCAAAGAGAAAAAAATCAAAGTGAGGTTAATTCTTGAAAACATGTATTCTTTATCAAGTATATTAGTTTGAGTTATCTAGGTAACTTTCACTTATTTTTCACTTTACTTTGACTATAAAGACAACTTACAGCTAAACGTTTTTCAGCTAACTATTTGTGTATGACGGTTCAATGAACATTGTTGTAATAGCTAATTATTTTATACAGCACTAATAGTTGACAATCAAGAAGATTCTACCTGCCGAGGTGCTATGTTTGTGAACCACACTTTTTAGTACTAAGCTATTCCAGATGACCTTTCTTCATTATAAGAAGACAGAAACCTGCTGGAGAACCCATTTATGAGATAAGATCTCTGCAGCCACCCATCCAGCAGAAGATTAGGCATTTCCCTCATTACACAGACTGTTGCTGCAAGTGACATGAGCAGCATGGAGAATATTGGAAAAGTATGCCTTTGAAAACATGTGCCTTTTTAAAATAGTAAGAGTCTTCAAATGTAATGATTTGTATGAAGTAGCTTTTTCTATACACATTATTTTTCAAAAAGTTTTCAAAAGTTTCTAATTGATATTTTCAGAAAATTGTCAGGCTCTCTATATGCCTGTTGAATGATTTATTATACCTAAAAAGTGAAACATTGATACCTAAGAATGGTTTAAAGGTCATCGATTTCAGAAATGTAGAGAGCAGTTGCAAAATTGTATTTTTAATCATGAGCATTGGAAATAAAATACATCCCCATAAATATATTACCTGTTAAAATATATTCCTGTATAATGTACAGGAATACATTATACATTATATTATATTCCTATATAATTTGTTATTTGTAGACTTTAAAATTCATGATTTTAAAAAATATTTAACAATATAAAATAATCTATATATGGTGTGATTTTAATTGTGCTAGATATGTATGTATTCATAATAACAGACTGAGAAGAAATACACCAAAATGGTAATCGTGACTATTTCTGGAGAAAGAATTATGGATGATTTTCATTTTCTTCTTTATCTTTTTTTCTGTATCTTTTCAAATTTTCTAATATGATGTTTTTGTGTATAATTAGAAAATAATAGATGTTGTAATAAAAAGAAGCACTGGACACATTCTGTGAGCCAACATACATTGGCTAGAATATTCCCTTCTTTCCTCAATATGGGGTAGATAGTACTAAATGAGTTTCAGTTGAAAAGTTTCTGTATACTGCTTGCAAGTATTTTTCAATTAAGATGTAAGGCTTTCAAAATTAGGGATGGTGAATTCACTCAGGTTGATGTCACTAGTCTTATGTGACTATTGTTGCATTAAACATCCAGGAGAACACATATGGTTGTTAGTAAGGCTGTCTTCTTACCCAGCTGTATCAGGACTAACCATTTACAGTGATGGACACAACTGACCAATTATTTACTACTCTTTCCAAATGGGACATACGTTCCTTCAATTTTGTGTTTTTCTATCACTTTGCCGTCAGTGAAGACACTCATATATCATGTTGGCCCAATAGTACATCATTATTTACATGCTGCTGCTCTTCTGGTGGTTGTTTGCATTTATACTTTTAATAAATTTGTAGAGGCTGATTAAATTTTTGGACTATATATCTCATTTGGCTTTAACATAAAATTAAATTACAGTGATGGAAGACTTTTTTTTCCTAAAGTGGGAGAAAAATATGATGAAACAAATATGGTAAATTATGGGAGGTTTTGTTTTTCTCTTTAAGATTATCAACAAATTCCTTTTTCTTAGCCACTTGGTATATGTGTGAACAGATTGCTTGTTTAGGTTATTTGTTGTGTTTCCCCAAATAGGTTATCAAGTTGATATTTACTTTGTTTACTCACAAAGATAGGATTTATTAAATTATACCTTTTCTCTATGTATTTGTATATTTTGAATGTGTCAAAAATATTGCTTTTATAGTAGTTTAGACTAGTGTTACTGTTGATTAAAGTTATTGTTTAAAGTAGTTGGATTTTACATAAGATTTTTAGTCAAACATAATGAGCATAAATAGAATTTTAGAGTGGCTAATACACACATATATATATGTGAGACTAGATGATGGATGGATGACTAGATAGATGGATGATAGATGATAGATGATAGATAGATGATAGATGATAGGTAGATAGATGTATCGATAGATGATAGATGATAGGGATCCTGAAAAAAAATATATAAGGAATCTTTCAGAAAAGTAATGTTAAAGTGAATTTTTAAAAAATTGGAAGGATTCTTGTGTGCTATCCCAGAATTTGTACAGAGTGAGGATGATATAAAGAGAGAACAAAATGTCTTCTAGATAAATTCTAGTTAATTGCTTCTAATGTAGTTTTCCTATAGTTCAGACACTTTGGGGCTGCATTTAAAAAGTACTTCACACATATATCTCAGCATAACTGTGTTATTTTAGTTCAAACATCCCCTGCCTGGCTTTGTTGCCTATTGGCTAGATAACAAATAGCGGAGGCTAAATATATTACAGGGGTGCCATAACTCCATATGACTTGAGATGTGCTATATAATCACTCTAATTTAATATTATGAAATGTTATTAGACTTGGCTGGGCTGTCTGTAGTAAATGCAACTAAGTTTTGACTATTTCTGCTCAGGTTCTGTGAAATTATATGTTAAGGTTCCACTAATTTTTTGAGATATGATTTTTTTTAAAGATTTTATTTGTCAGAGAGGGAGCGCACACAAGCAGGGAGAGCGGCAGAGAGAGGGAGAAGCAGGCTCCTTCGCCCAATGTGGGACTCAATCCCAAGACCCTGGGATCATGACCTGAGCCAAAAGCAGAAGCTTAACTGACTGAGCCATCCAGGTGTCCTGAAATATGATATTGATAGCAGGTTCCCAGTTATTGAACCCACATTTTTTATAGATAAAACCACCAACAGCCAATTCATCAATTCTCACTAGAGTCAAAGTCCTCTAGCTGGATTTTAGGCCTACTTGGTGCTTTATAGATTATGCAGAAGTTTAGGTTGTAGGAAATAAAATTTGCCTATTAAAAAGTGATAATGGAAAATAATTGTTTAAGTCAAATGGAGTAGCTAAACTTCTCACTCATAGAAATTAAAAAAATGTAGGGTCATAATTTATCCATCCTCCCAATGACATCCTCCAAAAGAACATGCCAAAACCCAGCTCATGATCGGCTAGCTCACAATATCTCCTTGTTTTTTCTCCTTTCTCAGAAAATGGTGACACATTCATCAGCTCAAATAAGTTTGTTATCTGTGATATTTGTCTTTATATTCAAGCCAACACCAAGTCCTTTTGATTTTATTTTTTATATATTTTTTGATCTACCTACCTATTTGCTTTCCCACAAGCACTACCTGAACCCAGACTTTTATCATTTCTCCTGAGGAAAATGGCCATGACATCCTAAATGGTCTACTGCACCATTTTTTAGATCTCTCCAATTGAATGTCTTCTACAGATCAATCATAATCATCTTAACAAAACACAGATTTGATTATACTCCCCTGTGAGCACACACACACACCCCAACACACTAGCACACCCACAATATTCAATAATTCCATTATACTCAGGTTAAACTCACAACTCACACAAATCTCCACACAAATCAAGCCCATGCGGATCTCCATAATCTATTCTTCTATCTCCCTTTCCAAAGTGTCTGTGTTCCAGCTGTGTCAGCTCTCTTTCAGTTTCTCATATGCATCAGGCTTCTCTCCTGTCATGTAGTCTTTCCACAGGCTGTTTCCTCAGCTTGGACTCTCTTCACTTAATTAATGTCTACTCATCTTTTAAATGTTGGCTCAAAATCTCTTCCTCAGAGAAAACTTCTATCTACTTAATAAATTAGATTTTTCATTACAGTCTCTCATAACCCATTTTCTCTCCTCTCTAGCTCTTGTCACAGTTATAATCTTACATTTGTTTGCCTAGGTGTTTGTTTTCTCTGCTGCACTATAATACACTTTCCCCACTGTGTCATAAACTACATGAGGGCAAGGATCAGGTCTGCTCTACTCAACATTTTATACCCAGCTTCTGACATATCAACAGATATTTGTCAAAAGAATGACAATGGTTCTTTAGCTAGAGCTGGCCCCTCTCTCAAAAAGTGTTATGTTTTGGCAAAGAAGAGTAAACACTAAATCAATAAAGACAACCTTTCCCAACAGTGCAAGCACTGTAAAGGAAATGATGTACTTCAGTTGGAGAGTGATCGAGGTAAGACAAAGGTTGAGGAAGGGCTGCTTGAACTGGTGTAGTTAGGAAAGCCTCACTGAGAAGTGGGCAAGGACTGAATCCTAAAAGAGGGGAAGCAGCCAGTTTTGTGAAAAACACTCTAGTCAGAAAAAATAGGCAGTGCAATTTACCACGTTCTACATAGTATATCTAGTTTCCTGTTACACTATTTTCAAGAGACAGCTGCTTTAGAAGAATTTGGTATTTTCTAGAAATAGCTGCTTTAGGAGAATTTGGTATTTTTTATATAGGGGTCAAATTGTCTACTGTGTTTCTTTCCAACTAAAACTAGGATAAGAAATGGTCTGGTCAGGTTTGGGGTTATGTGCTTTTTTTTTCCTTTTTTTTTTTTTTAAGATTATTTATTTATTTATTTGACAAAGGGAGACACAGCAAGAGAGAGAACACAAGCGGGGGGAGTGGGAGAGGGAGAAGCAAGAAGCAAGCTTCCCACTAAGCAAGGAGCTGGACGTGGGGCCTGATCCCAGGACCATGGGCTCATGACCTGAGTGGAAAGCAGAAATTTAACTGACTGAGCCACCCAGGCACCCCTGTACTTTTTTCTTAAAATCCCTCAGTGTGACCTATAAATTGTCCAAAATCACACTGCATAGCAACATTCATGTAAAGTCACCAGACATCTCCCACAGCTCTTCTGAATGCCTTGAATCCTGCGGGGCACAGCCTCATGAGCGGCTCCAGTCCCCCCCAAAAAAATAATAAGAAGAATTTTCTAAACTACAAGGTAAGTTTTATCTGGTCATTTTTTCCCCACCTCTCATACCAAATAGATAAAAATATTGCCATTATTTTAAAGATTCTTTTCGAGTTTCATTTAAAAAAAAATCTTATAAAAACAAAGCAAAACCAAAAAAATAAAAAAAATAAACTAGTGAAAGAGAATGCTACATAGTTACTCTCCTTCCTCAATAGTTTAGAAAGAGTGTATTTCAGTTTGGATGTCTGAAAAATATTCTCCTGTTACAGTATAATTATCTGGTTTCCAAAAGGTAGAGGGGGAGAAAGGTATGTGATTCTTTTTTTTTTTTTTTTTTTTTTTTTTTTTTTTATTTATTTGACAGAGAGAGACACAGCGCGAAGGGGAACACAAGCAGGGGGAGTGGGAGAGGGAGAAGCAGGCTTCCTGCTGAGCAGGGAGCCCGATGCGGGGCTCGATCCCAGGACCCTGGGATCATGACCTGAGCTGAAGGCAGACGCCCAACAACTGAGCCACCCAGACGCCCCTGAATGATAGTTTGGTTTTTTTTAGATTTTTTATTTATTTTTTAACAGAGAGAGACACAGCGAGAGAGGGAACACAAGCAGGGGGAATGGGAGAGGGAGAAGCAGGCTTCCCGCGGAGCAAGGAGCCCGATGCGGGGCTCGATCCCAGGACCCTGGGATCATGACCTGAGCTGAAGGCAGATGCTTAACGACTGAGCCACCCAGGCGCCCCAAGGTATGTGATTCTAATATGTGCTTCAAATAACTTTCTTTCAACCTTTTAGTACATTTTAATTAAATTCATTTTAACCAAATATGTATTTCAGCTAGTCAGGAAAAATGATTCGTATTTTTTAGTTATAGTTTTATCTAAATAGGTCAGATATAAAAGTTTTGCTTCATCATTTTTAATTAGATAGATTGAAATTTATTTGGGTACAGGTTGTAAACCCAAACTATGTTAAATCATTTGCATTATACTAATTATTTGATTAACAGCCAACTGGAATGTAAGCTTCATAAATATTTTATCCTTTTTACATGCCTAGCAGAGGTTTTCAAATCAATGAATGAACAGTTAATGGAACTATTATTTATATGTCAACTGACTACAAAGGTTGGGATTTTGAAATTCCTTTGCAAGGAAGAGTGACCAATGTTTTATTTTCAAATAAACTACCTTTGAAAATATTTATGCAATCTTAAAAAAACACATTTAGAGAACTATCCATCTTTAAATTTCAAGCTGAATTTTACCATGAAGAGAGAAGACAGACAAAGCTCATAAAGTAAACTGATAATATTACTTTTTCTTAGTCATCCTAGATGGATTTCACATATCCATTTATTTCCTATTACTGCTGATACTGCTTAATATTCTGGAAGGACGCCCTATTATTCCTTCTATTGTGCAGAAAGCATCCTTCTAGCTTCCTTATGTCTGGCTGACATTCTCTGTGGTCCCTGAGGTAGGAGCTCATTTGAGTCTGCTCGATGGCAAATATAGGAGCTCAATCTGCCCAGCATTCTGGACTCCAGAAGCAGGGTCCCAAACTGAAAGCAAAGCAGGCTTCATTCAGAGCAGCAGGGTAGGACTGAAATAGAAATTTGGGGAAATGTGAAGGTGAATTAATTTTTCTCACACATATCTTGAAAAGTTTAACCAATCTGTAACTGACCAATTAATTCCAATTCAACCAATAAGGATTTTCCTTTTGAAAACCACCTTTTAACACTATTCCATATTCCTTGTCCTTTCAAAATTCCAGAAAACATTAAATTTCAAGTCAAACCTCTCTCCAGCTAATTATTCTAATTCATTATTTACAGTGCTTGGGTGAAGCACTCTGTGTTTCTTCAAATGGCAATAATAACTTCTCTAATGCTAAGTAATTAAAATGACAGGAACAGGGAGAATGGAGGGAGGCATATTAAAACAGTGTAACAACTCTGTAAGAGCCTTGACTGTTGCCTAGAGAGGAAGATGCTTGTTTTAGCAAAGGTGCAGCCCTGCAGTTCTCAAAACTCAATATGCCTAAGAACCATGTGTGGAGTTTGATAAAATACAGATATCAAAGCTCCATCTCCAGAAATCCTAAATCAATGGTCTTGAGCTGAGGCCTAGGAATCTCATTCTTTAATAAGGGCTCCTGGTAAATTGTATCTGATATGTAGAAGGCTTTGTTAAGCTGGCAAAAACTGCAACTGTCCCTCTCCCCAGACTTGGGAAACAAGCCTATAATTTGCTGTGGTTGTAATTTTAGATGTGAAAAGCTCAAATTGGCTTGAGAGAGCATGTGAGTAATTCTTGAAACAAAATCACATAATATAGAGGTCATTTCAAGTGACAAAGGGTTAGGGGTGAATATGCATAATCAGTAGACTTCAAAGATTGTAGAAAGAAAGATTGGAATTTGGAAGAATTTTTTACTTTTGTAGGTAGTTTCCTTATACATCTTCAAATATTAATGACAGAAAACTAATTCTTGCGTTCTTTTTTATTTTTTTCAAAAACTGCTAATTTTTTAATTAAAATGTACTTCTTGTTTTTCAGTTCTTAATTCACTTATTACCTATGTCAGAGATAAGTACAGTCTAAAAGAATGATAATTTTTCTTTATCTCCATTGCATTCTATCACATAAAACACCTATGGTGCTTATCTGATTTTAATTTTTTTTCTGTGATTCTGTGATAGTACTATGGCTGTCAAAATAAATATAGAAAACTGGCTTATAAAGTCACTTAATTTTCAAAAATAGCATGAACATGAATTATATCATTGTAGATTAAGAAGACTACCTACCGTGGAGATGTGTGCTGACTTTGCTAAGTACATTTCAGTGGCAATATTTGTTGTATTCATTCAGTGATTATTTATTTCTGTTTGGCATATGACAGGTACTCAACTAGACTCCAGTCTCCCAAATTCTTACTTCATATGAGTTCAGGAGAACATTCTATCTGTGACTCTTGGGCAAGCTGGAATTCACACTTGTTCTCCTGCAGAACTGAGGGAATGAGTCTACTAAATGCCTGCTAAGGAAGTTTCCAGATTGTGGAATGGTAGAAGGGAAGAATGACTAGTATGCTGAAGTTAAAAATAACCACTGAGGCTTTAAACTTTAAGAGAGTAGAACAACAGTAATATTTAAAATAGCTTTAAAGAAGGAAAAAATGAGAACATATATTCATGAGTTTTATTATTGCCTGAGGTTTTATTTTATTTTTTTGCATGAGGTTTAATACAATGTATTTTGTATTTTAAGAATGATCTTCTTTTTAAAAATTCTAATTGTTTTGTATTTTTTCCAAAAGTATAATTTCTAAAATATACTATGCTCACCCAATAGTTCCTAAAAATGGAATAAAATTTTATAACAATTACAGGAAATTGATAGGTAAAGCATTTACTTTTATTGGAAAGTGTTCATACAAAGTTTTCAAATTTCTAATAATTTCCTTTCTTGGGTGGCTCAGTCCATTAAGTGTCTGCTTTCGGCTCAGGTCATGATCCAGGGTCCCGGGATTGAGCCCCGCGTCGGCCTCCCTGCTGAGCAGGGACCTGCTTCTCCCTCTCCCTCTGCTGCTCCCCTTGCTTGTGCTCTCTCTTTCTCTCTGTCAAATAAACAAATTAAATTTTTATGCAACAATATTAAAATAAGGAATTCAATATTGATATAAGGTGTGTTTATAGTCCTATGCCATTTTATCACATGTAGATTTGTGTAACCACCTCCACAATCAAGGATACAGAACTATTCCATCACCAAGAATTTCCATCCCTCCACTACCTATACCTCTCCCTCTCCACCATCCTTAACCCCTGGCAACCACTAACCTATTTCCACCTCTATAATTCTGTCATTTAGAGAATTATATATAAATGGAATAATACAGTATATATGCGATATAAACTTTTGGGATTGGGTGTTTGTTTATTTGTCTGTTTTTTCATTCACCATCATTGCTTTGAGATTCGTCCAAGTTGCTGCATGCATGTGTCAAAAGCTCATTTCTTTTATTGCTGAGTAGTGTTCCGGGCTATAAATGTACCAGTTTGTCTCATTATTCACTCATTGAAGGGCATCTTTCCAGGTAGGATTATTATAAACAAACCTGCAAAAAATATTGGTGTACATGTGTTTTATGTGAACATGACTTTTCATTTCTCTAGAATAAGTGCTCAGGTGTAATTGCTGGGTCATATGGTAGCTGTTTGGTTTTATAAGAAACTGAAAAACTGTTTTCAGAGTGTCTGTACCATTTTACATTTCCCCAAGTAATTCATGAGTGATTCAGTTTTTCTAAATCCTCTCCAAAATTTGATGTCGTCACTTTTTTGTTATTTTAATGCTGCTTTGATAAGTGTGTGGTGCTAATTTTTGCTTCAATTATCAATCATCATTTAGAAAGCTCAAGAGAAAACTCCTCCTCCTCTCAAATGAGCCAAATGTTAGATCTTTTGTTATAGTTCAACGGAACCTTCAGATTCTGCCCATTTTTTTATTCTATTCTCTCTCTGTTGTTCATGAAGAGTAGTTTCTACTGTTCTATCTTCAAGTTTACTGATGCTTTCTTCTGTCCCCCTCATCCTACCTTTGAGCTCAAATTTGAGCTTTTAATTTTGCTTATTGTAACTTTCAGTTCTAAAATTTTCATTTAATACTTCTTTGTATCTTCTATTTTTGCTGAGACTATGTTTTTCTTTTTTAAATTTGTTTCAAGCATGTTTGTAAATTGCTCGTTGAAGCATTTTTATAATGACTGCTTTGAGATCCTTGTCAGATAATTTCAACACTTGTTTCATCTCAGCATTGGCATTTATTGACTTTTTTTTTTTTTTTCTCATTCAGTTTGGGATCTTCCTGGTTCTTGGCATGACAAGTGATTTTCATTTGAACCCTGGACATTTTGAGTATTACATTATATGATTCTGGATCTTATTTAGATCTTATGTTTTTTTAGCAAACTCCTCTGACACCGTTCCAAGGGGTGGTAGTATGGCACTATCTCATCATTGCCAGGTATATGTGGGAATCCAGGCTGTCCACTAGATTTTTTGACACTTGGAAGGAGAAGAGCTCCTTGTTACTGCACAGTGGGTCCACAGTCCTGAATCTCCACCTGGCCTCAACTGACAGCAGCCAGTGGGGAGCAGGAGAGCCCCCTTGTTACTGTTGAATGATGTTGGAAGTATGGGCACCCTCATGGCCACCAATGACACCAAGGGTGAGGAGATTTATTAAGAGCTGGTGCGGATGACAGTCTACTGGGGGGGTCATTGACAGGACATGACTGCTGGTTGATCCATGAGCTGGACCGTAGGCAGTTTAGAGGCTCCCCACCCTTCCACCATCCTTGGAATTTGCTTTCCATTTGCCTTTCCAGCACAGAAACTGCCCCAAGGACACAGCCTTGATATAGTGATGTGGTGTTGAGGCCATCTGAACAGTATACCTCACTGAGCCCAGTTAAGACCATACAAACTTTTAAGATTTGGCCAGCAGGTGCAGACATCTATTCATCTTGCAGCCGTCCAAGACAAGCTTCATATGTAAGTTCCCTTTGCTCATTAAAACTGCCTCCTACCAACCTGGAGTGGCCTGCCTCTTTCTTCAGTCTGTCCCTGCCCTGCATACTAGGGTTAGTTTCAAATTACACCTGGCAAACTCCTGAGAAGCTTGTGAATCAACAATTGACAAGCCAGCCAGGAGACAGAAGAAATGGATCTTGGGAAAGAGGTATCCATGGGGAATTCAATCCTTGATTTGGCAGTGACCTCTATGTGGGGAGGGGTGGCCCGTATGTGAACTGTTCTGTGAATACAGGGATGCCCTGAAAATGTCAGATGGCCTAATGCACTTGTAGGAGGAGCTGCACACAGCACATTGTGGTGAAGAAGAGAAAAGCACATCTGACACAATGAGCTGGTCTCTCCCATGGGCAGTTCCACTGGCCCTTGATGCTCAACTAGAGGCTGAAGCTCAGGTTAGAGAGTTGGAGGAGCCGAGGTTAGACAAGGTTGTCCACTACTCTGCTGGCTTTGGGGCTAACTAACAAGGTGGGAGAGGTGGTATTTTAGCGTGGTATTTTGCAAAGCTAAGAGGGCAAAAGCTGCCTCAGATTAAGGTCTGAGCACTTGTAACAAAACCTGACTGGGACGCTAAGCTATGGAGTCCCTGGAAAAATGAGGAAAGCAAAGAGAATGTTGTGATGAAGAAGTGGACAAATGTTTCATGCTGTCTGACCCCTACTACAAAAGAAAATTTTAAATAGCAATGACCTCAAAGCTCCTAGGAGAAAACTTGACTTCTTTCACCATCCTTTGAAGTTGTAAATCTTGTCCTGTCTTAAACACTCTAAGAGATAACCAAAACACTGCCCACAGAGTTAAAAAGGAAAAAAAAAAAGAAACAAAGAAAAGAATTTTAATACCAAAAGTATACTGGCGCAAATTTAGAACTTGGTTCTCTCTCTGTTAAAAGAACAAAGTTGTCTTCAATTAACAGCTTGCTAGTTTAAAAAAAAAAAAAAGCTTTTGTTTTGTTTTGGTCTGATTTTACCTTTGATGTAATGTGCCTAGAAAACAAAGATTCTGTGCTTTGTTTTTATCAGGTCTTTGATTACTCAAGGAACTGAGTCTTGATTAAAAGAACAGTTTTCAACAAATATGTAATTTTTTATGTAATTTTTGTATATGTTAAATTTCATAGGAAACACTGTCAAATAAGAGGTAATGATAAACTTTTTTTTAGAGTTTGTTTATGTAAAATTCCAAAAAATCTGATATATCTTGGTATAATGTTATTATTCATAAATTTAAAGTGCATGTCACAGAAATAAATTCCCTTGTCAGTTGCTTTACAACAAACTCTCATCATATCTTTAACCATAACCAATTTTAAGTCCTTCGCTGTTTGCTGACACTTACTGTTTTACTCTAATGCTTTTACGAAAAGTATGCCTATGAAAGTGCTTTATTTTCAAGGAAAAGACTTTGACAAGTTTCTGATATAGCTAAGATCATTTTTTTTTTCATGTGGAAGGGACAAAATAAATCTTTCAAATGCTTACCCAAAGCTACCTGTGCATCCCCACAATATTTCATGAGATGGTAACCCAAGAGCTGTCCCCTGGCTCCTTCCCCACATCAGTAACATGGGCTCGTTACATTAATAATATAATATCAACATGTGAAGACATCCCCCTGCTGCAGGACACTCTGCGGACTTTGCTGAAACATCTGTGAGGGAGAAGATAGGAGGTAAAACCAGAGAAAACTCAAGGCTCATGTATTACTGCAAGGTTTTGGGAATCCTTTGGTTGGGTAAAACTCATGCTGTCCCAGAAGTTGGATTTGATAAGATACAAGCCTATCCAAGCTCTAAAAATGTAAAGGAGATATAAGCATTTTTGGGAATTTGGGGGCTTGGAGGACTTTTATTTCTTACCCTTCTTAGTGCCCCCATTCCTTATATGACCTCGTAAAGAAAAGGCACATGCGGGAGTAGGGATAGAGCAACAAATGACCTCTGAGGAGGCAAAAATACCAGTAAACCAGGTTAAAGCTCTGGGCATCCCCCAGTCAGGGCTACCATTTGAGTTTGATGTGTCTGTGACTCTGGAAGTTGTGGATCAGGCACTGTGGCTGAGACAACAAAAGGAAGAGTGCCCCTAGGGTTTGGGTCCCAGCTCTGAAAGGTGGCAGGAGCCTGAGAGACCCCTACAGAGTGACAGCTCCTAGCAGTGTGCAAAGTGCTACTTCAGGTGGGGCCTCTCAGGAAGGAAGGAACCACAGTAGCCAGTGGGCTGAACTCAGTGTGGTTTGACTGATGATTCCTTTGCACTGAGAGTTGGGCTGTTCTAAAAAGATTAACTGTCTGACGTGGACAATAAAAAGCCAAGGGGGAGATGATTATATATAAGCCCTTAAAAGGGTCAAGATATGTGAAAAGGCACTTGAGTCCATCTGCAAGAACATGAGGCAGTCCTCACATCCTGGCTCATATGCCCACTGACACTCCCAGACAATCAAAAATCTGATGCCCTAGAGTTTACAAACCATAGCAACGGACCCTGCAGTAGATATAGCAGATTGGGTGCATAGATAGAGTGGCCACTGAAGTGCCCAGGTGAGATGGTGTGTTGCCAAACATGGTGATGTGCCCTTGCAGTATAGTGACTTGGTTAATGCAGTAACACCATGTCCTGTGTGTTTTAGACAATGCACAAGGCAACTGCCAGAGGAGATTGGGACCATCCACCAGAGTTCCCAACTAGAAAGGGATTGACAAATTGGTTATGTTGGCCCCTTCCCTCTGAATGATGGTTCTAAATAAGCCTTGTTTTGTGTGGACACTGCATCTGGCCTGACCCAAGCTTTCCCCTGTCAATGTGCAAACCAGGCTACCACCATTAGGGGATTACAGAAGCAGAGTTATGTATGGATACCCCATGGACTAGACAGTGATTGGGGTTACATTTCAGAGGTCATGATATGTAAGATGGGGCAAAAGAACATAGCATTAAATGAGGTTTTATCTCCTCTAAATCTATAAGCAACAGGGTTGGTAAAAAGGAAAAATGGAATATTAAAGCACCCACCTTAGCTGGGTGGACTAAAGTACTGTCCCAGGCTTTAATACATTTGAATGATCAAACAGTGAGGCCTGCTGCTCCCTGTGACAGGCTGAGGACCTCCGCTGAGACACCCAAAACCTGCTATAAAGGTATAGCAGTCACAGGAGGTAGCCGTTGCCCCAACTCTCATCCTGGATCAACATGTGATGCTGCTGAGAACACCAAATCCCATCACGCTTGAGTAAGGAGTTACCTACTAGAATTTGCAATGGGTTCATTACTTTGCACCCTTGGATGAGGGGGAACTACTCAGTCTCCAATGGGATCCTATTGTCCTGCTACAAGCTGGACCCATTTAAAAGCACTCTACCTGGAATGGAACACACACCATTGAAAGAGGGGAGAAGCTGGGAGTCCTGGTCTGGCATATCCACTACCAGTCCATCTTCTCACACCTGATTGTTCTGCCTCCCCAACCTATATGGTATACACAACCTGGTCACAGTCCAAAAAGCTGCCAGCCTTCCTCTCCTCAAGGCCAGGGGGGCACATCTGTTTTCCACTGGTTTATCGTTTGGTTGCCATCTTTGTTCCCTCCACTGGCCTGGAGGATGTTATAACATATCTAGAAGCCCTTACTAAATTCACCCAGTAAGTCTTAAATAATAGTAACAAAACCTGTCCTTTCTGAACACTGAACACTGGGGCCACAGATGAAAAGAACTGTCCTCCAATATAGGATGGCGTTGGACATTATAACTGTCTCAGAAGGAGATAGCTGTACTGTTATCCAAACAGAATGCATGTGTTCATACCCATGAGTCTGCTAATATATCATTTTTATTAAAGCATATGAGGACATAAGTGAATGCCCCAGTGTAAGAGACTTGATAAATCAGGGGTTCAGATCATGGAGCTCTTGGAAAAACGTTGTCACTGATTTTGGGAATCATTGTCTTAATCTGTGTTTCTCTGGCATAAGCCCGTATTGTCGCTGTGGCATCTGCCTCTAGTGCAGCCAGCTAGCTGCCAAAGGGTCACTTCCATCCTCGTGAAACTCCTTCTGACATCTCAGGGCACAAGGCAGAAGACTGCAGGGGGAGCAGGTTCATATGGAATTGTAAGAGTGGGTCGCTGGGAGGTGGAGTGTTGGGGGCGGTCATCAAGAGGACATGACTGCTGTTTGATCTGTGAGCTGGACCAAGCAGTCAGAGGCTCCACACTTCTCCCATCTTCAGAATGTGTGCTCTGCTTGCCTTTCCTCTCCCAGAGGCTGCTCCAAGGACACAGCCTTGAGAGGGTGACATGGTGCTGAGAGCTGAAAGATACATGACTGAGCCCAGTCAAGGGCTCTGTATAAACTTAAAATGTAGCAGGCATGTGCAGACATCTTGTCTTGCGCAGCCCAAGACAAGCCTTGTACATAAGGTCCCTTGCTAATTGAGCCTACTCCCTCCCCATCTTCTCCATCTGGAACACCTGCCTCTTTCTTCAAATCACACCCAGGAAGCTCCCAGGAGCTTGGGGACCATCACGTCCTGGCTCTGCTCTGGAATACCTCTCCAACACCAGTGCTGGGGATCGGGGTGCTGACAGTTGCCTGGCCAGGGTGGGAGTCCAGGTCCCCACTCACCTTTGCTGGCAGGGATGGAGGTGAGGCCACAGTTTTTCTGTGGTTCTGGTTGCAGGAGAATGATTATCATCAAAAGTACTCTGTCTGGAGTACTTTGGACCTGACTCTGAAGACTTTCCTTGGGCTTTTATTTTTGTGTGCTCTTTTTGGGTTTTGTTTTGTTTGTTGCCCATTGGGATTTCCTGGTTGCTGACTTCTCCAGTATTCAGTTTCAGATATATGAAGGAAAAATAAAGCCCAGGGAACTCACCACCACATTATCCCTTGAATCTAAGGATCTTGGCCATTCCTCTTTAAAGACTTCTTATATTTGCCATTCCTCTTTAAAGACTTCTTATATTTGCTTTGTATGTAATGTCCAGCGTTGTTAGTTCTAATTAGTGGGAGGAATGTGTCTACTCCATCTCCCCAGAACCAATTTTCCCCTCCATATTTTTTCTTCAGAAATATCCTTTTTATTTTTACTTTCTTATTTCTCTATAAAGGTTCGAAAACCTTGCTTCCCCCCCCCCCTTTTTTTTTTCAAAATGTTGCTGCTATTTCAACGTGAGTGCATTAACTTTCAATACTAACTTGGGAGAATTTTCCTTTTTATTAAATTATTTTCCCCCAAGATTAAGTGTGTCTTTCCACAGCTCATGGCCTCATTTGTGTTTCTCACTAGTGTTTCAAGTTTTACTCACAATGATCAGCATTTGGGGGAGGGGGGTTCCATTCATAGATACTTTATATTACACATCCTCCCAGCTCCTCTAATTGCTTGTGTTTGTGTGTTGCAGACTAGTGATTCCTATATATTAATTTTCTATCTAGATATGTTATAAACTCCCATGTCATTTTTAACCGTTTTTCTATCGTTATAACAGTTTTTCTTCTTCTTACTTTTGTTGGACAATTCGTTCAGAGCAATGTCAAATAAAAATGTCCAATTGAGCTGAGCTGCGCAAGGTGGGGAGGAGACATCGCTCACATCGTATTCCTTGAAAACATACCTCTGTCTTGGAGTGCAATGATATTAGAGCAGTGATTGAAAATCTTTGTCTTGTGTCTACCTACAACTGGAATTTTTCCAGTGCTTTTCCATTAAGCATTTTGCTTTGGGATTCATCATGATACAGCCTTTAAAATATATATATATATATCTATTCCTATATTTAAGAGCTTTTTAAAAAAGAAAGGAAGGTGATTTTTAAGTGCATTTTAAATATCTAGAGTTGAGCATAGAACTCAGTTTATTTAGCTGTAAACTGATCCATAATTTTCTTCCCTTGTGATATCATTTTGGAGTCTTGCTTTAATGTTGGCCCATGTCTTCAAAAAATTTTTGCAATATTCTTTTTCTAAGTTCTGGAAAATTTTAACAGCATTAGCACTATCTGTTCCTTAACTAATTGACATAATTACTTAGCAAATCCACCTGGGAGCACAGCTTTTTAGAAACTGTGAGGTTGCAAGAGGGCAGCCTTTTGAATGGTTTTTCTCTCAGATATCATCATCATTACTCATTTTATACAGGTTATCAAATTTATTTGCATACAATTGATCCAGATAATCACTTGGAATTCTTTTAATCTGCTGTGTTTCTATGATATCCCCATCATTATATTTCTCATTTTTCAATATTTTATTCTTTTTTTTATTCACTGGGTGGTAAACATTTATATATTTTGTTATTTATCAGAAATAACTTTTTAAAAATTCTACTCTTTTCAAAAATGATTTTGAATTTATAAATTTTGCACTTATATTATCTATCATTTTACTTTCCTTGATTTATTTAATTGTTCTATTGTTTTTTAATTCTTCAATTGGAGCTTAATTTATTTTCAT